AAAGAGCATTTCAATATAGTATCGCACAAGTGTTTAAAAACGGAGACTGCAGAATCCGTTGAAGAACAATTGGCAAGCATTCTGTGCTCTAATGATTCTTGCGAGGATACATCATTGCTCAAGTGTATCAAGTGTAAGCGGTATTTTTGTGTGGCGCACAGGCATCACGAATGCTCGGAGCGCTCGGAGCTGAGTAAAGCAGAGAAGACAAAGAAACTGAAGAAATGGCAGATATCAAAGAACCAGTTTGCAGAAGCAAAAGCTATAGTGGATCAACAAATCGCGGAGAGTTTGAAGAAATCCAAGAATACAACACTGGCAAATAAAGTACTATTACATGTTATATAAAACAGAAAATATATATTTTAACGGAAAACGTAAGCGTAGATGTGTGTTATACAATTTTTCTCTGCTTGCAGGTACAACTCATGCGTGTGAAATGTTCCGCAATTGGTCCCAGAAATGTACCAACGAGCGAGAGAAGTTACTTCCTTGTGCATTTGCCACTCACAGTTAAAAATAAACACATAGGCACGTCGAAAGGCACCTACGTCAACATGCACTGGACGATTGGTAAATGTATAGATTCAATAGCGGACACACTCAAAGTTCGGAACTATATTCCGAGTAACAATAATACAGCCACCACGAATAAATTGAAACTCTTCCGTCATTCTACCGGAGATCTGATATGCAACGAGATGGACACACCTTTGGCAAAATTATTTGAAGAATCTGCTGTTTTCGACGGCGAGCGAGTTATCTTGGAATATTCTGATAATGTACCTAATAATGTAATAGATCCATCTTTGTATAAATAAGTATTGTATGTATGGTATTTTGTTGTAATGAAATTTCTGCAAAAGAGAGTAATAGGCAACAATCCACTAATTGGGCAACTATTAAAACAGTATGATTTTTTTCGTGCCACTTGTGATATATGGAATTTTATGATTCTCTGTCGACATAATTTGACTTATCGGTAATGGCGAAAAAACACAGCTTTGTTAGAATATTCTGATAATGTACCTAATAATGATTAATAGATCCATTTTTGTATAAATAAGTATTGTATGTATGGTATTTTGTTGTAATGAAAT